GAAACCTTACTTTTATATATGTGAATTTAAATAATTTTCCACCAATAAGCCTTATAAAATTTGTTGTATGATATATGATTAAGTCCTTTCATTTTCTTTGCCATTTGATTATAACTTATAATGTAATTAAATTTTGTATTGAATGATTATCATAAACATTTATTTATTTATTTATTTTGTTGTATGATATATAATTAAGTCCTTTCAGTTTCTTTGCCATTTGATTATAACTTATAGTGTAATTAAATTTTGTATTGAATGATTGTCATAAACATTTGTTTATTTATTTATTTTGTTGAATGATATATGATTAAGTACTTTCATTTTCTTTGCCATTTAATTATAACTTATAGTGTAATTAAATTTTGTATTGATTGATTGTCATAAACATTTATTTATTTATTTTTAAAAAAAAAATTAAAACCTTAAATATTTTTCCACCAATAAGGAGAGAGTGAAACCTTACTTTTATATATATGATGATTCCATAAATTATCCTCTAGTCAATTTGCATTGTGTTATAATCTTTTGCTTCTTATTTTAGATGACGGAACTTTTCTATTGCTCATTTGGGCCAAAACAACTCAATGAAAAATCATTCCAAATTATGAACCCTATGCGAGCCCATTAGATAGCGTACCTCAACAGTTTGGGTCCAGTGATCCAATAAAATTATAATCTAAACACATTAACGTAGTGTCACTGTGAACAAAACAACACCGAACTCCAATATGGAACCAAACAACATTTATCTTCTAATAGATATATACAATATATATATATATATATATATATATATATATATATATATTTTTTGAAACAAAAGAGAAGATGCAAAATATTGTTTTCTATACAATTGTTTGTATTGTGATGGAGGAGTTCTTAGAGATGGTAATGGAAATTGGTGCGGGGGTTTTGCACTGAATATTGGGATATGCTCGGCCCCGCTAGCAGAGCTTTGGGGAGTGTATTATGGTTTCTGTATTGCTTGGGATCGAAGGTTAACTTGTGTGGAGGTGGAGATAGATTCGGAAATGGTGGTGGGTTTTTTAAGGTCAGGGATCGGTGATTCGCATCTGCTGTCCTTCCTAATACGTTTGTGCTACGGCTTTATTTCAAGGGACTGGATAGTCTGTTTCTCTCATGTATATAGGGAGGCTAACCGTCTTGCCGACGGGTTAGCTAACCATGCTTTTTCTTTGTCTTTGGGTTTTCATAACTTTAATTCTTTCCCTGTTGAACTCAATTCGATTCTCTTGGAGGATGCGAATAGGTCTGTGTACCCGCGTTATGTTCGTGTGTAATTTCTTTTACTTTTTATAATAATGGGAGGCTTGCCTCCCTCTTCCTACCAAAAAAAAAAAATGTTTGTATTGTGAAATTTTGTACCACAAGTTCGCACATTTGGTAAACATTCCAATAAAATTTTCTACAATATCTAACATAATTGATATCTCAAAGTGAAAGCCATCTCAAAAATAACATAATCCCACACCAATATTTACATTAAGCGAATAAAAAACATTAGAAACAAACATAAACGCCCACTTAGTAGCAACAATATAGGTCATTGGGATCATTCATTCAAAGAGAGTAGATGCAAAATAGCTACTTTTTTAGAGTCTATGGCAACTATGATGCGACATCATGTTTCTTACAAAGACAAACCCTATAAACTCTACTAATATATATTAATTGTTCTCAAGATTGCAAGAACAGAAACAAAAACAAAAATACTAAGTAGTAGTAAAGAAATGAAAGAAAGAGAGAGGGACATCTCGAGGCGACACGAGCACTTTTCCGGCGATTCCTCCCACCACTACACACTACACACTACAACACCATTGAAACTCTCCAAAGCTTTTCTTTGGATTCCCGTGAACCTCTCTCTCTCTCTCTCTTTTGCCTCCCAAGAAATTTCCACCGGTTTTCGTGTTATTCACTTACATTTATATTTTAAGATTTTCTTATACTAATTGTTTAAAAAATGTTAGTGATAAATTGTGAAAGCATAATACTTTGATGGCCTCTCACTCTTATACCATTTGATTAGTTACTTATATAAAATTAGCTCGTCACATCTACAATAGATTTATAACTTAACAATCAGTGGTCTTTCTTTGCTTTTATTATATGCTGATAGTTTCCCTCTTTCAGTGGTGCAAAACATATATGATTGTATTGCATGCGACCGAATCCAATTTTTGTTTTCGATTAATAATTTTCAAAATTAATTAACTTTGCGCATGACAAATTGTTTGATTAGCTAGAGAATTTTGCTCATGAGACTTAAAACTAACCAAATAATTGAATACTTAAAACTCTGGTCAGGTAAAAGCTTTTACGCGACAAGAAAAGTAAACCGGATCAATTGTGAACTACATTATTATGTTTTATATATAACATCATCGATCCTTTGATCTCTCATATCGAATATGTGTGTTATTACTAGTGAATTCTATATTTCAACTATGTCATTCTTTACATATATATAAATTAAAGACAATACATGCTGGAATTGTTTCATCAAAGAAAAAAGAAATTGGTTTCATTAATTTCTTCACCGACTAGCGCATAAAGAGAATGATATTATAGATAATATAGTACTAGTGTACATGTAATTGTAGGGCAAATTAAATTAATTAAATGAACATCATTAAATTAAACGATTTGTTCGAGTAACAGACGACGACGATATCAATAAGTGGCATTCTAATACCTAAACCTACTAAAACTGCAATTACAACAATATAATCTGCGTTTAGGATTTCGTTTCGTTTCGATTTCGTTTCGATTTCGTTTCTTTTGCACAAGATTTGAAACATGAAATTCATCAAGGACGACACACAATCTTATACTCCTCATAGCTACTTGATATGGACTCGCTAAATAAGAGTAACACGAAACATAGATATAATGGAGTTTTATTGTGTGTTTCATTGTTATTCAGTAACCCAAGTTGATTAATTACCTCTTTATTCTAAATATGCTGGCTTAATTCCCA